ATGAGCTTTTGATGCACTCAGTCTTTTTATAGGATTACTGGCCTCATAATAATAATAATAATGATATAATAATAAGTCAGATTTTAGGGGAATATTTTTTATATTATTTTCCCCTTAACGTCATGTAATTTTCCCCATAACATCGTTTTTAAAATGTTTCTCTAAAGTCTCCATTGTTTAATTTATATTAATTAGAATAATAATAATTATTGTCTACTTATGTAGCGCATATTGTAGAGATCTCTATACAGATATATCTTCTTAACCATTTGGCTTCAAGGTTCATATATGTTTATATGTTTTTCTAAATTTGTTTTCAAGGTATCAATAAAAGGCCATGATAAAACATATGCCCTCAAACAGCTTAAGAAAAAGCACATTGTGGAGACAAGACAACAAGAACATATTATGTCCGAGAAAAAGATAATGTTAGAATCCAGATGTGATTTCATTGTAAGGTAGGTGGATATGTCTTGCAGCTCATGTCATTTAAGTTTACATAGAAAACCTCCAGCTTAATATCCCAACAGTGAAGTTTGTCAACGAAGGATCCACAAGACTTGACACACAACCTGAGCATTTGCAACTAATTTTAAAGCCCAAAGATTATAATGTGTGTTATTACTACCCACAGGAACATATAGTATTGTCCCCTTTTTATGTCAAAAAAGATCTGAAATCAAAGTAGGCCCTGTCCTAGTCTGCTTTGTGCCATTTTCTGGTGCTGCTCTACTACATTTTTTATTACGGAAACTGACGCTATATAAATAAATTTGATTGATAACCTAGTTTATTCCTAGTTTATGCTTGTCTTCAGTGCCCTTTCCGCTCAGACACCAAAGATATTGATTCTAAAATGCATTAAATTCCTGATTTGGATAGTTACCATTTTAGAAAGCCCTAAATGTCACAACATTGTCTTTTGTTGCTTTGCAACCCTTGCTTTCAATTCACTTGTTTTGATCGTTGAGTACAAACTTCTGCTAATCTTGCAACTGATTGCTTCTGGCAATGTTATCACAGACGGTCATTCACAATGGTTTCAATGCGGTATTAGCAACAATTGGTGCTTAATGCAGCCTCCAAATGAAGTTTTATTACACAAGAATGCAAGCTCAACTGCTGCACTATGTACTCTCATTAGCTTTACTTCCTTACATAAGGTGATTAAATAGATACAGCACATGCTGTAGGGTCATTAACTGAATACAACTCATGCAGAAATACTCCTACGTTTTTTATACCTTAAAGCAAGGAAACCTGGTATGAAGCACGGATTTTGGTGCTTATAGCGTGCTTGCAGGAAATAATATATAATCAAACTGAGAGAATGTTAGAGAGAAAATTGATTGTAAGATTGAAGTTTGAGGTTGTAACAACAGATGCTGACTTAGCCTGTATCTTTGAACAAAATGGAGTCATTATCTTTGCTTGTGTCATTGTTATAACCTTTTACCTTGTCTTTCGAATGTGCATTAATCTGTTGGTCTTGTGTTCAGAATGGCAATGTGCATGAAGTTAATGTAATGGCTTATATCACATTCTTCAGAGTTTCATACTATTTGATTTGATTGATTGATTGGTTGGGCTTAAAAAAGAAAAAAAGAAAAACACCAATTTTCAAAACCTGCAATGTAGGCTCAATTAGTTGGATTACAAAGAATAAATACATAAACCAGTGAAGTATAGACTCCTGCTCCATATTTTCATACTAGAAGTTGTATAAAACAGTGATATATTATCTATTTTTAATTCTTCATCCATTTGCCTAAATAATATAAATCAAATTTAGGGCAAAAACAAGGGTGCACTGCTTAGCAACCTGCCAAATGACAGGGTACTTGGGACCTCCTGTGGGCCCCAGCAATGTTGAATGGCATGCCCATGTGGGACCTTTTAGGTTTTGTTCCCTGAAACTTCAGTCACTTTTTAGGCATTTGGATGTCTAAATATAAAGGATTATAACAATATAGTTTTTCATTACTTATATCATTTGTTTTATTAATAGATAATAATAGGTTGATTTACATAGCGCAAATAAACGAGGTATCTATGCGCTCAATAATATTGCAGACAAGAAAACAATAAAAAAAAAAAACTAATAAGAGTATGTTTTGTATAAATATTTAATATAAAAATAACGCTAAAAAGAAAAGATCAACGTTTCGACTCCTTCACGGTGTCATTTTCAAGATCAAATGATGAAGTATAGCATATACAGCAACTATAATCAGTAGAAAAAAGCTAATCTACAATGTCAAAGTTCATAACAGTGGGATATTAATCCCTGTGTTAGATAAAAAGCTTTGCTTTGACAGAGTCACATTGTTTATTCAGACTGGGTTTTAATTGTCTAATAAATAGCATTTCATGAATGAGACAGTCAAATTTGTTCCTATATTTCTTTAATATGCTGAAACATGACTCAATACTGCTTGGGCTGATATGATGGTCCTTAGCATGTTGTCCTAACAGAAATCTTTTATGTTCAGCAGTACGTTGGTAGAGGTGTCGGTTTGTGTATACATAACTTGCATCACACAAGTCACATTTAAATCTGTACACAACACACTGCTGATTTATGATTGTAGGTTTTCTTTCTGTTTTCTTAATTTCATCACTTATTTTTCTGCTTGTGAAAACAGGAAAAATGTTTTGGTCTATTTTGTTGCTTAGTTGGCATAGTTGACGCTTAACTGAGTTGGCAGATTTCTGGTCTTCGAAGGGTAGGATAATTCGGATGGGCATTTCCTTCTCGTCGGCTTCACTTGCTGAATTTATTATCAATCTCTAGAGTTGACTTAAACATTTGAATTGTAGATGTGATGAGGTCATCCGTGTATTTAAGGCGTTTGAAAATCCTTCTTAGGTTATCACATTCCTCGTTGAATAAGTGGCTGGATGATGATAGTTTGTAGGCCCGATTCAACATGGTAATTAAAAGTGTCTTCTTGTGCTTATTGTCTACATGGCTTAAATAGTGTTAAAAAAAAAACAGAAAAAAAACCAAAAAACTGAAGTATGGGGTTTTTATCCTAGTGGCATGGGGTCTGGCGTCCGGCACCCGGTAATTTTCCCTCCCAGCCCGCACATGGACAACTGTTCATAGTAAATTGGATATTGGTAACAATTCTTATTTGGTTAGTGAACAGATGAAACATTAACAACTGTATTATTTTCTGGAAGCTGATGACATAATTCCTTTAGAGGGTTAGATTAACCTAAGAGTAGTTTAAGAGGTGTTCAATCATGGCTTTGGTTTGGGTATTTTCTTAGCTTGCTTTTGATGAGTGTTAAATGAATATACATGTGGGTGGGTGTTTACAGTTGACTGAAAGCTATGATTTATAGACAGATGCTCAGTGATCATGAAACTACAGCACAGAGCTGTCATTTTGACTATAATGTTAATTTTGATTTTTTTTTTTTATAGATTGTATCGTACTTTCAAGGATAAGAAATACCTATATATGTTACTGGAGGTTTGTCTTGGTGGAGAGTTATGGACTATTCTCAGAGACAAGTAAGCTTCAAACCGAAAGGTCCACTGATTAATCTCAGATAAGAAGTATAATACATACTCCAAGTATTGAAATACATGCCATCGTGTTGGGATTCAATATTTCGACATTAATTATGTCATCATTAGGATGATTTCTGATGATGATATAATTAATTTTGAAATATTGAATCCCAACACGATAGCGTGTATTTCAATACTAGTAGTATGTATTATACTTTCTTAAGTAAGCTACAAATTTTTAATTTTACAATAGTATGTTATGATTTGTGCTAGTCTTAAAGATTAAGGATATCACACATTAACATTGGTGAATAGAATTGTAATGTAATATATTTCAATATACAATTATTATTATTTTATTTAGCCATCATTTGAAACTGATATCTGGCCATCTCATAGGTGCAAGTCGAATTCGATGTTAGTGTCTTCATACCATACTTAAATGTACATAAATATGTTATATATTTGTTATTAATAATAATAAAGTTGGTGTTTGATATTATGCTAGAACCGCTTTTGATGATGCTACAACTCGTTTCTACACTGCTTGCGTTGTGGAAGCACTAAACTACCTCCATTCTAAGGCTATCGTCTACCGTGACCTTAAGCCAGAGAACATTCTACTTGATAATAGGGGATATGGAAAATTGGTGAGCATAGACTCAATTTCTTTAACCTTACTGGTTATGATGTGAAAAGAATGATGTGCGTCATTAGTGTTTATTCTGCTATAGTGATGTGACCATTAGGTGGCTGCAGTGTTTGAATAAGACTTGTAATGTCAGGTATTGTTTCTTTGAGATTTATTGGAGCATCAGCAAGTTCTGTCTGTAGTCCTACCTGCAAGTTTGGAAGCATGACATGAGTAATTTGGTGTGAGCATGGTTCAGAAAAACATTCATAAAATTTAAGAATCAATTTAATTAGCCAGTCAGCCAACACATACTGAACTACAGTATATTTGCATGATTTTTATGACTAGAAAACACAGTGAATGAAGGGTTAACTACTTTTAATGGTAGAATGCTAATTAATAAAAAACTACCGTATGTCTCTGTGTTTCATCAACCAACAGAGGGTGTGCTACATATATAAAATAAAAATTAATAAATGTATAAAAACCAAAAGAAATTAAAATATGTTGCATAAATCAAATTAATGAAGCAGAATGGAAAACATAGAGAGTGACATTTAATATCAAATTCGTCATTGAACATTTCTTTCCTTAATCAAATCAAGTAATCAAATCAAAAAATAATAAATCAAATTAATAATATTCAAATTAAGAACATAACCAGAGTGGCAAGAAAAATAATTGGTATGGAGCTTCCAAGTTTTAACAGTTTTTGTGATAAGTCGGCCCTTGTGAAATTAGAAAGAATACTAAAGGGTAAGTCTCACCCATTAAATGGCTACATAACTTTTAACAAATCAGGTTGAATTCAACAAACTGATATCAAAACAAACCGGTTAAAAAATTCATTCATACCACACACGTCAGCTCTACAATAATAAATTATGCAGATAATTACTGTCTTAGATTGGTACCGTGGTTGGTTTAAGTCAATTTCACTGTCTTTTCATGTAGATAAGATTTTGGTGCTTGTGTATTTTGTGTAATATTTATATTTATATCTTATGATATGTATGTTATTTTGTATAAGCACCAGAAATCAAATTTCATGTATATTTTTATATGTGACAAAAAAATCTGTCTTGAATCTTGCTTATTCTTAGGTTGACTTTGGGTTTGCTAAAAAAATTGGAACCGGGCGCAAAACATGGACATTTTGCGGCACTCCAGAGTATGTTGCCCCAGAGATCATATTGAACAAAGGTCATGACCTATCGGCTGATTACTGGTCATTAGGAATTCTTATGTTTGAGTTACTGACTGGAAGGTAAATAGAATTACACCGTTGATTAACGCAGCTATTTGTAAAATATCTATGTTGACTGATGAAAAATACATTTGCTGTTTTAATTCTATTGACGTAGTTTGTGAAGTTACTGATTAGGTCTCATTAAGTGGGTGTAATTGGATTCTATCAATGTTGACACCAACACCTCTTGTTACAGTAAATAGATATTCTTAAGTAAGATTAATTAAATTGATTGATCTGATGAGTAGCATGCTGATAGTGATTTGATCAATAACTTTAATTATCAAATTTTTTTAAAGATAACAAATTCAAATTTACTGACTAGCATACTTGATGCACTGATTATTTTTCTGTAATATTTTCTATTTTATTATTCAGGGGCGATTTGGGGTGGGGGTGGTGTGGCTGGGCTGGGCCGACCGCGGTCCTCCTTTTAGAAAAAGAAAAAGAAATAATAATCGCCCAAAACACCTCAGAAGTTATTTTCGAGCGTCTAGAAAACGAAAATTTGTGGGGGAATTCCCCAGACCCCTATTGTTTTCTCGATCGGCCTCACTTTCGCGTCCCCCCCCCCCTTTAAGCATCTCTGGATCCACACCTGTTATTAGTATATTATTTATTTTTTCAATATTGTAATAATTTTGTGATATATATTATACAGTATAATCAGGGAATAATATTATTATGATATTTATATCTTTTTTGGTTTGTACAGTAGTTTGTAAAAACTGTACTAAACAACTGAACTGTTATTTTGTTTAAATACTGTAGAATAAAATGTTTAAAATGAACTGTATTTCTTAAAAATGAATGAAAAATATATCTTGTATATATATGTATGTGCTGAGTAATATTTTACGCTTGTTTCCTTCAATAGTCCGCCGTTTACTGGATCGGATCCAATGAAGACATACAATATTATTCTGAAAGGAATGGACATGATCGAATTCCCACGAAAGATTACGCGAAACGCTGCATACCTCATTAAGAAGCTATGTAAGGATAACCCGTCTGAACGTCTCGGATATCAGAAAAACGGCCTGAAGGATATTATGAAACACAAGTGGGTCAATGATTAATTGCTTGTCCTTATTAGACATCATTTTCTGCGTTCATTAAGTCCTCTAATATGAGCTATATGTAATGTTGAAGTGATTTACATTTTTGTATGTTGGCCTGGAATTTCCAAGACCTGAACCTTGTAGCATTGCTGTAAACTACTTTGTGTACTGTACCTATATAATGGTATTTATTCAGAATAAAATCATTATAAACATAAGACATGGCATCCATTTCATTTCATTTATTTCGCCTTTTTTTTTTTATCATAACAATACAGTAAAATATTCAGAAAATTCGAAAAGGTAATCCAAGTTTCCCCCAAGAGCCGGCAGGATTACCAAAAAGTAAAATTAATTACTGTCTGATTGGCTCTCCAAGCAATGGGGGAAACATGGACTAGCATTATAAATACATTATTAAAAAAATATATATATATATATGTGTCAAAATACAAAAATAATTAACAATTAAAGTATGTTCATTACTTATATTATTATTGTTATTTTCCAAAAGGCTGAATTGCAAATTATGTTAACATAAAAAATAAATGAACAATAAAATTTAAGAAAATAGTCTTTAATCATTATTTGTTTCTACCAAGGAGGTATAAAAATTATTATTATTTTTATACCTCCTTCTTTCTACACTGCTTGCATTGTGGAAACGCAATCGCACTGTAAACTGTTGTAGTATATTTTTTCAATATAGTTTTTGTACAATAGTCCGTCCATCTAATGCTAAACCACATACAAAGAAAGACTATACAGTAGTAAATACTCTACAATACAAAAACCTATAAAGTTGATAACTAAAGATTTAGATAGAAATGATAATAAACCCTGGTATTAACTAATACCAGTAGCATAGAAAGCATGCAACAATAATAATAAAGGAAAATAATATAATATAAAGGAAATAAATTGATTGAATGGTCAATTGATTGGTCGATTGATGGATTAGTTGATGGATTGATTGGTTGATTGGTCAATTGAGTGGTCAGTTGGTCACTTTGTTTGGTTGATTGATTGATTGGTTGATTGATTCATTGGTCAATTGATGGTTGATTATTGGTCAATTATTGATTAGTCGATTTGATTGATGGCTGGTCAATTGATTGACTTATTTAATGATTACCAGCTTGATTGATTAATTAATTGATATTTTGCAAGCATTCAACTACAAAGTCATAACATCAGTAAGCATGAACATCTTTTATTCTGGTTTTGTAGATGGTTTGATGGATTCAATTGGACAGGACTTAGGAACAAAACACTCACCCCTCCAATTATTCCAATGGTAAGTTGCGTGCTGTATTTTTATACTGTATATCTAAATATTTTACTGGCGTATTGAAGGTGGGGGTTCAGCCGTCCCTGGGCCCCCACTAAATTTTTACAAAATTTCAAAAAAAGAAAAAAGAAAATATATTAAAATTTTAGTCTAAGAGTGTCATTTCCGGCCATCTAGAGGTGTAATAATCATAATTTCCCTCCCTGGGTCCCCACTGTTTCATATTCCTTGATCCGCCACTTTTGTATATATTTATGCCGAAAATTCTGTGTGTTTTTCATCCAAATGTAATATGGTAAATAAACAATGAACCAATTAGTATTTAAAACCTTTACTCCTCCTTTAAAATATTATAATAATATTCAAATATAATAACAAACTTATCAATAAAATTATTATGATAGTGCAAAAGACAAATTTCTTGGAATCCATTAGTATGTCACCTGTTAAAACAGATGTTATTTCATAATTTTAGAATTTTATTTCTCTCAAAACAAAAATGTCAAGAGTCGGTAGGCAAAAAGAAAGTAACAGTCCCATTGCCACTGTAACTTTTTAGAAACTAACTACAAACTAGGTAGAAGCAGTTTGTGCAATAGTGGTGGCTCGGGCTTTCAAGGGGGAGGTGGAAGGGTTGAAAAATTCACTGATATAATTTATGCGGCAAACTATGGTATGTCCCCATAGGAATTGTTCCAATGACTACGGTAATAAATGTGGGAAAGCGCTCTGATACTTAGTTGTGTAGAATGCTACATAAAAATTAAATATTAAATTCATAATTAAAATTCATTTATTCACTCATATCAATATCAATAGAATAATACAATACGAGTACCGGAAACCAAGGAAGCAAAACTTGTAAATAGGTCCGGTTTTATTACAATGAAAATTAAATTACAACAAAACAAATCAGTATAAACATTACTGTTTATTATTATATTATTAACATCATTATTATATTTTAATAAACCTACTAGTACATATTAGTAATTTGATTTTAGGAAAATATGCTGTGTATACCAACATTTTATAATAATAATACTTTTTATTGCATCCTGTAGATTTCATCACCACATGATGCTTCCAACTTTGATGACTATCCCTTAGATACGGACCCTATTCCACCAGATGATATGTCAGGATGGGACCGAGATTTCTAAACACAGCTCTCAACATCTTTAAGAAGCCTCAAAGATAAACCTGTGCTAATTTACCAGAAGTTAATAACATATTTCAACGATGTGTTTGTTTAGTTAAAGTTAAATTATTATTATTTTCACCAATGCAATACAATCTATAATGATACTTCTTCGGTTCCTGCACATTCGTTGCTTGTTCTAAAAAATTTTTTTTTTGTTTTATTACTATATTTTTAAGGCTTTTATTAGGGGTTATATTTTTTTTTATCTTCTATAATTGTTTATTTTCTTAGTGATTAGTTTTAGGGATAAGTATAGCAAGATTAATTTGAATTTTGAGGTTATAGATTAACACAGTATTAAATGTTGGATATTTTACCAATAATATAACAAGTGACCAAATATTTTCCAAATCTTTCATGACATTTTCGAATTTATTGTTTTATTTCTGATATATCACAGAAAATTAAGCCCTGTCCAGTCTATTATTCAATCTAACATGTGACATGCCTAAATATGGTCATGATGACATCACATCATGACCATATATAGGTGCATGATTTCTAAATATGGGCATACAACAGTCTGGACAGAGCTTAATATTATAATAAATCAACGTTGTGAATCACAACAGACACAGCTTACTTAATGTTTAATATAAAATTATAGGCCTATTAAAGTTATCAACCGGGACAATGTAGGTTGAAATGTTTTACACAATTTCATTAGGAAAACATTTCATGATGATTTTAAATTGCTTAATACATTTTGTTTCAAATGTTTCAAATCAAGATTTTTTTTTTTACAGTATAGAATCGTACTTATATGCGACTATTATTATTTGTTATTATTACGTGATAGATAAGATAAAAAGGGAAAGAAAATCCACTCTTCTGATTTCTTTATGCACAAATCAGCTGCTCAAATCCTTTAATGAGTGATTATAGATGGTGCACTTCGTATGTATGTTGCCCACTAAAGCTTTGTGCACACTATCAATGTTGATGTGACGAATAACTGATATGCCCATATATGGACAAATCACACAAAATTGTCACTTAAAATTTGATAGTGTGACAGAGCTTTTAGTTGCAAGATTTTGTTCCTTTTTTTTCAGAGCATTCCATCAGAACCATCAAAGTGGAATTTCTCTCCCTCATAGATAACTTAGATTTCTATTAGTACTTGCATCCAATTATGTTTTTTAAAGATAATTTTATTGTTATAATTATTGTAATTATGAATTATACTTCTAGACAGTGCTAGTCTCCATATAATAGTATTTAATGTTTTTAATTGATAGTGTAAATAGAATTGAAACACACACCTACAGAATGGTAGGCTTGTAACCATCTTGATAATTTAATCACATTCTGTATATAGTAAATTATTTCTCCTACTTATTTTAAACATCTGGATATAGATCAAAGTTTTGTTGGTAATTATGTCAATTCATCATTGATTTGTGATTTTTATTTAATAAGAAAATGTCAGAAGTGCTTGATTGAAAAATAGCACATATGTCTTTCAAGATGACTTCTGATTTTTAGTAAAATCTCACAAATAAATCATCACATTCATTACAACTGATGTTGCATTCATCTCATTTTTTCAATGTGTATATCATGAAGAAAATAAATACAGTATGTAAATAGACAGTTTTAAAAACTTCTACACAAAAAATGTCAGAGCCCATTCACCAGACCAACCGGCGTCTTCAGTGGTTGTAACATCAGATGAGATTCCGCTACACTAGATGAACACAGTAATTAATACATAAACCGCTATGTATGAATCTTCATAATTATAATAAATATTTAATTTTCTCCATGGTTATATATGTATACAGTATACAGTGGCGGATTCAAAGAGGGGGCCAGCTGGCTCCCCTTAAATTGTTCAAATTTTCAAATAAATGGAGATATAAAGAAAATTATATTCAAATTTTAAGTCTGAGTGTGCAATTTCCGGCCATCTATAGGTGCCATAATCACAAATTTTCTTATTTCAGCCTCAACCATGGTGGGGCTGACTGAGGTTGTATAGATCCCCCATCTGTGAAAGTACCTCCCTGTAGCCCCCACTATTTTGAATTCCTGGATCCGCGACTGATATACTTATTTCAAGGCTTGGTGACAGCACCAGAAGTTTCCCAACAAGGGATCCCAGGAGAACAATTGTTTCCAACAGGAGTTCAAATCGCCTCAGTTTCACTGTGTTTGTGCCTCTAGATGCCCAGAAATGACACTTGCAGTTTCTTAAAAATGCTGTTTTTCAGTGGTCTCTGATGAAACAATTGGTTACTTTCCTGTGTCCAGTGTTCTTCAAGGTTGGGTCCTGTGTCCCCCGGGGTTGAATCATGTGTCCCCCTGGATCCCCTGCTAGTGTTTCCACTGTCCAGGCAATCTTACAAAATATACGATTGCATCATATCGTCTTAGAGGTATTATAACAAGTAGAGTGCTAAACAGCAAAGTACAGTTATGTATCGATACTCAACAAGATGGAAAAGCCTTGTACAGATTACAACCATTAAAGCAACAGTAATCATTAATACTTTTATTGAGAGTACATGATAGTAACTTTGTTATGAAGATACGCCTCCACTTGTGATAAATAATTCCTTCCTCGGAAAATTAAGTTTTTCGTTGTAAAACAATGCGCTCTCATATCTTTGCAACTATCAAATATATTTTTAGTTCCATTTTTATTTAATTAATTTTTTAGGCATTTTTATTAGTGTAATTGTGTTAGTTATAAATTGTGAAATTCAATATACTGTATTGTACCGTATATATTATAACGGTATGATTAGGCCAAAAATATTATGTTGTGTTGCCCTCCGTGACCGACAGAAATTTTCCAATAATTCGAGTCGGCATTTTAAAAAAAATGTAAATTTTGTTCAAAGGTCTTCCTTTCACTCAAGTACAATTTCGAGAAATACCGCGTCCGAAATTAACATACATAAAATCTAAAACAGAGACATGTATTTTGACCAAAATTGGGCCACAGATGCACACGTAAAATCGGTAAAATAGAAGGCATAATTTTGAGAACCGAGCGCGACGACGGTGAAGATGTATGCACGAACATCGGATCTCTCTCACTGTCAACCCACGACTTGCCACGACCCTATCTAGTCTATCCTTTACTACTGTACAACTAGTGTTTGCTCGAATCAAAAATCGTATTCATTATCTTACGATATATTGGACAATATTCACACGGGTCTAGCCATCTTTTTAAAGCCTGTACATTGCTAGACATCTTAGGCTCCGTTATGCCAACCATGAACGAAATATTATATCTTATGTTTTTCTCAAAGTTTACTTCGATAAGGTACTGTTTTTAACCCACTTCATTGTTTTAGTTTCCCCCTATGGATACTTCTAAGCGTGTATATATATATATATATATATATATATATATGAAGAAGGCGTGTCCACGTGTGTTTCGAAACATATGTAGAATATAATATAACGTAACAGTAAAGAAACTCAAATACGTAAGATGTTGACTTTAGAAATGCACCACCTTCTATGATCGGTGCACCACCTAATTCTATGATGGGTGCACCACCTTCTATGATCGGTGCACCACCTAATTCTATGATGGGTGCACCACCTTCTATGATCGGTGCACCACCTAATTCTATGATGGGTGCACCACCTTCTATGATCGGTGCACCACCTAATTCTATGATGGGTGCACCACCTTCTATGATCGGTGCACCACCTAATTCTATGATGGGTGCACCACCTTCTATGATCGGTGCACCACCTAATTCTATGATGGGTGCACCACCTTCTATGATCGGTGCACCACCTAATTCTATGATGGGTGCACCACCTTCTATGATCGGTGCACCACCTAATTCTATGATGGGTGCACCACCTTCTATGATCGGTGCACCACCTAATTCTATGATGGGTGCACCACCTTCTATGATCGGTGCACCACCTAATTCTATGATGGGTGCACCACCTTCTATGATCGGTGCACCACCTAATTCTATGATGGGTGCACCACCTTCTATGATCGGTGCACCACCTAATTCTATGATGGGTGCACCACCTTCTATGATCGGTGCACCACCTAATTCTATGATGGGTGCACCACCTTCTATGATCGGTGCACCACCTAATTCTATGATGGGTGCACCACCTTCTATGATCGGTGCACCACCTAATTCTATGATGGGTGCACCACCTTCTATGATCGGTGCACCACCTAATTCTATGATGGGTGCACCACCTTCTATGATCGGTGCACCACCTAATTCTATGATGGGTGCACCACCTTCTATGATCGGTGCACCACCTAATTCTATGATGGGTGCACCACCTTCTATGATCGGTGCACCACCTAATTCTATGATGGGTGCACCACCTTCTATGATCGGTGCACCACCTAATTCTATGATGGGTGCACCACCTTCTATGATCGGTGCACCACCTAATTCTATGATGGGTGCACCACCTTCTATGATCGGTGCACCACCTAATTCTATGATGGGTGCACCACCTTCTATGATCGGTGCACCACCTAATTCTATGATGGGTGCACCACCTTCTATGATCGGTGCACCACCTAATTCTATGATGGGTGCACCACCTTCTATGATCGGTGCACCACCTAATTCTATGATGGGTGCACCACCTTCTATGATCGGTGCACCACCTAATTCTATGATGGGTGCACCACCTTCTATGATCGGTGCACCACCTAATTCTATGATGGGTGCACCACCTTCTATGATCGGTGCACCACCTAATTCTATGATGGGTGCACCACCTTCTATGATCGGTGCACCACCTAATTCTATGATGGGTGCACCACCTTCTATGATCGGTGCACCACCTAATTCTATGATGGGTGCACCACCTTCTATGATCGGTGCACCACCTAATTCTATGATGGGTGCACCACCTTCTATGATCGGTGCACCACCTAATTCTATGATGGGTGCACCACCTTCTATGATCGGTGCACCACCTAATTCTATGATGGGTGCACCACCTTCTATGATCGGTGCACCACCTAATTCTATGATGGGTGCACCACCTTCTATGATCGGTGCACCACCTAATTCTATGATGGGTGCACCACCTTCTATGATCGGTGCACCACCTAATTCTATGATGGGTGCACCACCTTCTATGATCGGTGCACCACCTAATTCTATGATGGGTGCACCACCTTCTATGATCGGTGCACCACCTAATTCTATGATGGGAGGACCGCCTGTAGGACAAGGCTTTCAAAGTGGTCCACCCTCAGGACCACCAACAGGTCCAACACCACCAATGTCACCTGCAGCTGGACCAGCATCTGGAGCAAGGCCGGGATTTTCTGGTATGCAACCAACTGGAATGGGCCCAGGTACTGGAATGGCTCCTGGGCCTGGTATGGCTCCTGGGCCTGGTATGGCTCAACAACCAGCAGCACAAAGAAGACTGGACCCTGACCAGATGCCTAGCCCAGTGAGTATTATAGTTCAACTTTGATAAATAATTGATTATAAATAAGGAGATTATTTATTTAACTGTTATGATTATGCGAAGTTTGGAATTCCATGAAAATAATTTATAAACCATCAGAACAGTGCTGCATTGTCAATTCCATAAGCAATATAAAAATGTTGTAGGCTTTTAAAAAAATGATGTGTTTCTATTTTATTTTCACCAAATCATTAAGAATTTAATATACAATTTATGGCATATTATATAAATAGGCAGAGGCTTTCAAGTTAAGTTTTTTTAAAACATTGTTGCTAAAATATTTTATCATAGCAATAACAAAATATCAACATTTATTTGGTGCACAATCAGCCTCACAAAAAGAGTACGCTCATGGTGCTGATTTCACGTTTAGATGTTAAAGGACCAAAACAAATTTGGTAATAACCGTGAGATATCTTTTGTCAGATTCAAGTTATAGAAGATGATAAAAAAAACAGAAGAAATGAACAATTTATGACAAATTCAAGAGGGCAGGTTCCGCCATTGGTAACAACACCATTTCAAGTTATTGATCAAGGTAAGATTGAGCGCTACAAAACGGGCAGATTGCTATAAAATGGTCTTAACTGGTAGTCTTAACTCCTCTAATAAAGCCAGCTTTATGACTTAGACAGTCTTAACTAAAGTCACTCTGCTAAGACCATTGCTAAAAGAGCAAGCTAAGCGCTAAGACCGTCTAAAAACCGCTTATAGCAATCCACACACGTTTTATGACCAGACTATACGCAGTGTTCGTGCGAAGCACAACTTAAAGACAGAAGTAGAATGTTAAATTTGGATTTGGATTTGCGAGAAATACTTCAGCTACCCGTATTTCTCGACTGAGAGGTCAGTGGGAGCTGTAATTTGTATGGCAAGGAGATGGTGCTACCATTAATTCGTATTATGGAATTTTACGCCCACAAACCCTGTAGTTATTAATATTTTTGTTATAATAAAAAAATTTTTGGTGACGTCACACTCACAATATAGTTAACATGCATACTTCATGAGATTACGTCACCTTTTCCACTGCTTTGCACATGGATGCCTTGCGTAGCTAGGGCTACAAGAGCTGCATTGTTAGCATTGTATAATACTTAAACAAGGTATATCTGCAACTGAATTATTCTTAGTTAATTTTTTTTTCTTATTTAAATTTATTTCTTTCGAAAGTGTACTTTCTATCACATATAACTGTGCTGTCTACTTAGGCCTAGGCCTAGCCTTACTAATAAATAGCCTCACCGTCCCCCGCTACACAGTACTGTACATCAGTCGGCTAGGCAACAGAACATGATGTGCCATTCTTCCTAGGTTTTCTTTAACATTTGCATATTGTTGGCTAACCAACTTATGCTTACCGTTCCCCCCACGCTACAGTACAGATGTATGCTCTGTCTCTTATACACATCTAGATGTGTATAAGAGACAGATATGTGGGGTCTATCTATATCCAATGAACGTTTCAAGATTTTAGATTGGTACCGGTAATTTACAGTAGGCTCTACTTATTTTATTAGCAGGGGTTGACATTGTGAACTTCAAAATACAATTAATAACCTATTTGCGTAATTACGTCATAGAATAAGAATCTGATTATAGTTCTACTATTGTTAATATTGTCAAGGTAATTTATATCCCAAAAGTCATCGCGCATTATAGGATACGTTGACGTGGCTGTATATACGCATGCGTGTTGACCTGTACATGAGGGTAAACCTTACGTGGCATGAGCTTTACGTTGACAGAATTGACTGTTATTTCTGAGTTGTGTGTTTATTTTTGTCAATTTAGATGCTATAATGTATCAATAGGTATATGGATTCATGTTTTATAAATTAAGGTAACGTAAACAGCATTCTCAGTGTAATTTGGTTCCGAGAACGTCAAATCTGCTTAGGGTGGCGTAGCAAGTCTAGCGAGCAAAGCCAGCCTATGAAAAGGCCGACACTTGATTGGAAGCACACACGGCACGATCGCTTGGTGGACACACACTGGGCGAGAATTTCCGGTTTAGAAATAACTCGATATCTTGATTTCTTTACGTGTAATATTTAATGTAAGATAACTTTTACAGTATGAGCTCTGGGCCTTACACGAACCAAGGACCACCCGGTCCTGGTCATTATAATTACGGGCAAAATCCTCTTCCTAATAATAATCAACAGAATGCCTTCTACAACGCCGGTGGAGGAACGGTTCAGCCACCCATCGGTGGACCTACTGGAAATGGTTTGCCTTTAGGCCCAGGGCTATCGCAACCAAAATCCATGACTGGCCCTCAGCCTGGTGGACCTGGATTTTACCAACCAGGTTTCCAACCTAGAATGAATGGACCCTCATCAAACCAAGGACCACCTCCTCCACAGCAATATCGACAGCAATCCCCGCCTGTGTCTCAACAACAACATCCCAGCCAGTCTTCTCCTTATGGATATCAGCCACAAACGTCTAGGTAAGAGTCGACTTATTATTCCTAAAATGCCAATGTAAGGTTAACATAATAATTAAAAAAATTATTAATAAAAATAGTCAACCAGATCACGGGAAAATAGTATGCCAGCATACCAACATATTTTAACAATTATGTTTTAACATGTTTTGTTTACATTGAATTTAAACAGAGGGCCTCCCCAACAAAATAGTCAGATGTTTCAACAAAGACTACCTTACCAACCTACATCACAGACTAGACCACTTGCAGGAGATAACCAGTTGAACACACAGATGGGAGGAATGAGTATAGATGGGAACATTCCATCCCAACCAGGCATGGTATGAAATTGTTTGTATTACAGTACTACAATATAAGTTTGCTTAGATCTGCAATGTATTAGCTAACGGTTAAGAATCGGATGTAATTTACTGTAATTCCGTAAAACTACCTGAGTACCAGATGTTGATTTCCAATGTTATGTGTAACATATGTAATTTTGTTTGTAGATAGAGAAATGAAATGCTACCATGTGTTATGTTTTATAGGCTATATATTTAACTTGTAATTCTTCCTCTTTCAGATGGGAGGGCAAGGAATGCAAAATACAATTAGGCCCCAAGGCCCACCACCATCAAGCATGGGCTACTCTCCTGGACCACCAACTTCAAATGCAGTAGGCCCTCCTCCATCCACACAGGCACAGGGCAATATACAAAGAATGGGTATGGCTAACAGCAGACCAGGGCCACCACCAATGGGAGTTCCACCATCAAGTAATGCCCAAATGGGTATGTACGGCAACCAACAAACATCAGTAGCTAAAATGTCCAACACAGTAGGGCCACCACCAAATAACATGATGGGTGCACCACCAAACACCATGATGGGTGCACCACCAAATTCCATGATGGGTGCACCACCGAATTCCATGATGGGTGTACCACCTAATTCAATGATGGGTGCACCACCAAACTCTATGAGTGCACCACCTAATTCTATGATGGGTGCACCACCTTCTATGATCGGTGCACCACCTAATTCTATGATGGGAGGACCGCCTGTAGGACAAGGCTTTCAAAGTGGTCCACCCTCAGGACCACCAACAGGTCCAACACCACCAATGTCACCTGCAGCTGGACCAGCATCTGGAGCAAGGCCGGGATTTTCTGGTATGCAACCAACTGGAATGGGCCCAGGTACTGGAATGGCTCCTGGGCCTGGTATGGCTCCTGGGCCTGGTATGGCTCAACAACCAGCAGCACAAAGAAGACTGGACCCTGACCAGATGCCTAGCCCAGTGAGTATTATAGTTCAACTTTGATAAATAATTGATTATAAATAAGGAGATTATTTATTTAACTGTTATGATTATGCGAAGTTTGGAATTCCATGAAAATAATTTATAAACCATCAGAACAGTGCTGCATTGTCAATTCCATAAGCAATATAAAAATGTTGTAGGCTTTTAAAAAAATGATGTGTTTCTATTTTATTTTCACCAAATCATTAAGAATTTAATATACAATTTATGGCATATTATATAAATAGGCAGAGGCTTTCAAGTTAAGTTTTTTTAAAACATTGTTGCTAAAATATTTTATCATAGCAATAACAAAATATCAACATTTATTTGGTGCACAATCAGCCTCACAAAAAGAGTACGCTCATGGTGCTGATTTCACGTTTAGATGTTAAAGGACCAAAACAAATTTGGTAATAACCGTGAGATATCTTTTGTCAGATTCAAGTTATAGAAGATGATAAAAAAAACAGAAGAAATGAACAATTTATGACAAATTCAAGAGGGCAGGTTCCGCCATTGGTAACAACACCATTTCAAGTTATTGATCAAGGTAAGATTGAGCGCTACAAAACGGGCAGATTGCTATAAAATGGTCTTAACTGGTAGTCTTAACTCCTCTAATAAAGCCAGCTTTATGACTTAGACAGTCTTAACTAAAGTCACTCTGCTAAGACCATTGCTAAAAGAGCAAGCTAAGCGCTAAGACCGTCTAAAAACCGCTTATAGCAATCCACACACGTTTTATGACCAGACTATACGCAGTGTTCGTGCGAAGCACAACTTAAAGACAGAAGTAGAATGTTAAATTTGGATTTGGATTTGCGAGAAATACTTCAGCTACCCGTATTTCTCGACTGAGAGGTCAGTGGGAGCTGTAATTTGTATGGCAAGGAGATGGTGCTACCATTAATTCGTATTATGGAATTTTACGCCCACAAACCCTGTAGTTATTAATATTTTTGTTATAATAAAAAAATTTTTGGTGACGTCACACTCACAATATAGTTAACATGCATACTTCATGAGATTACGTCACCTTTTCCACTGCTTTGCACATGGATGCCTTGCGTAGCTAGGGCTACAAGAGCTGCATTGTTAGCATTGTATAATACTTAAACAAGGTATATCTGCAACTGAATTATTCTTAGTTAATTTTTTTTTCTTATTTAAATTTATTTCTTTCGAAAGTGTACTTTCTATCACATATAACTGTGCTGTCTACTTAGGCCTAGGCCTAGCCTTACTAATAAATAGCCTCACCGTCCCCCGCTACACAGTACTGTACATCAGTCGGCTAGGCAACAGAACATGATGTGCCATTCTTCCTAGGTTTTCTTTAACATTTGCATATTGTTGGCTAACCAACTTATGCTTACCGTTCCCCCCACGCTACAGTACAGATGTATGCTATGCAACAGAACATGATATTGCACCTTCCCAGGTGTTCATGTAACATTTGCATATTGTTAGCTAATCTAATCAGCTGCGTGTAGTCCTTTGTGATAATGAGTACCGCGGCATACTCATTTTCACAAAGCATTTGCATCCCCTCTTGGAAAAATGGAACTTCGAAATAATTGTCTCCATATCTTTGCTAATTAGTCACTGTAATTTAGCTTACACTTATGCATGGAGTAACTGGACCACATAAAATATAGAATAATCATTTCACTACCCAACAAACCCCAAACTTTATTCATGCATTACATAAATAGTTTCATGTTGCTGTACTCCAACATCACTGGCGCATGGTAACAACCAACTGATTGCAGACCATTTCCGGTCACACATTACTCTCCATAACTCAGTACCCCCTAGTTCCGTTACCTCTGGAAAAAAAACAAATTAATCTCTTCTATAATGTTTTAATGTTTTATTCCTATACTTCAATTATAATTATTATTGGAGGTTATTATCTACTTCATTGCAATCAATACAAGGGATTTGCACTTAAAACAATCCTATATTTGGTTTTTAGTAATTGTTTAAATAACTATTTAAAATATATATATATACACTACAAATCTACAAGCCAGTTGAAATTAAACTCTATTAAAACCAGTAATTTAACTTTAAAAATCTCAACAGAATAATTTCAGACAGGTTACATTATTGTACTTTGGTTTATTTATTTGTCATAAGTTGAATTTGATTTAATAATTTAAATACACATTGTTGAATTCCCCCAGGAAATGCTAGTCCAAGAATGCTTAGATCAACTATGTACAATTTACCCTGTACCCAAGATATGATTAAACAGTCACAGCTTCCTATGGCTTTGGTAGCATCTCCCTTTGCTGAGCTACCAGAGAATGAGGTAAGATTACGATATTGATAATAATTAATATTTGTCTAAAATGTTACTAAATTTTAATATGACAATTCTTAAATTTATTACCAGCAAATTTATATCTGTCCAAAAAACGTAGGAGCATTTATGCATTGCTTAATTGGTTCAACAGTGACATCTCCCAATTACTTCCCCTTCTGTCCGAACAGGGTTTGTAAATGAGAAAATTTGTAATTCAGAGAGTTCAAATTTTCAGCCTCTCAGTGTGGTGAGGGTAGGTCTATGCTATAAAGTACAGTACAGTACAGGGCTAGTAGGCCTAAGCCTTACCATGGGAGAGATATTTTGTCACAAAATATGATTTGGATTGTACTTTTGTCTGCAACAAAATAATACTTTACAGTGCTCACTGTGAAGTATTCATTTGAAGTGAGATCTGAATGAAAACATGACCATATAATGTCCAAAACGAGTGTTATTATCCTTTTCATGAAGATCGCGAATCCATGGGAATAGCGCCCCCCAATGATCAAAAAGTGAGATTTACTGTACGGTATGTCTGAAGAAGCATGCACAGCTCAAATATAATATATCTCGGCTGAAAACGTTTGATATTTCTTGCTTTAAACATAGTTCATATCACTTTATTGGTTTGAATGTTTTCTCTCTTAGCTGATGTAACAATTTAAATTATTTCTGAAGACTTAAATACATTTTAAAGTGTTGTTGTACTTAAATACGATCGTTCGTAATGACTTCATCGCCGCAAAGTCGGTTAATAAAAGCAAGAGTTTGTAAATGGGAGGTTCGTAGTTGGGAGATATTACAGTTTATTCAAGAGTATAACACAAATAGTAGCATCTTTGAGAAGTTGTTACTGCGGATGTTGGATCCATAAATTTGCAAACTTGTACAATGTGCAACTTTGTCTTCTTGTGTAGTATATGTAGTCGTGTTGCCTTGCATATACACTAATAATACATAATAATACATTAAATGCGATAATACCTTAACCATTTATACTCCTGTGACTTGCACAAGGACAGAGCAAAATGCACAAAGATTTGAACCCCCGTCATTAAGGTTGAGAGACTGAACTCCATTTGTTGCGCCAGTACAGCAACATCAATGCAACCAGTTACTGACATTAGAATCCTAGGATGCTTACATTTTCAATAAGATTATTCAGTGTTAATAACCTGTTCTGTTGTTTTAGTATCCACCGCCCTTAGTTGACCATGGACCAAATGGACCAATCAGGTGCAATCGTTGTAAAGCCTACATGTGTCCATTTATGCAATTTGTTGATGGTGGTCGTCGGTTCCAGTGTAACTTCTGCAATTGTGTTACAGAAGGTATTTTCAATTGACTCTGATATGATAATGATAATAAAAATAAATTTTTTCTCATTTCTAAGTACATATATTTATATATTTGCATCATTTATCTACTAATAGATGCTGATTTTTCTTTATTATTAATAATTGTTATTATTATTGTCATCATTATTTGTTTATGTTAATGTATTGCTCATTCTCTGTATCCTTTGGTACCAGGTCTCTGAACCCAGCTGACAATCTGACCTACTGTACCATGTTTTTATCTTGTAATTCAGCACTGTGTTGCGAGAATAATTTAAACAAAATGGAATTGAAAATATATATTTATGATTATTATATATTACAATTGTATTACAGTTTGTAGTATCTACCATTGAGCATAGCTGATAATCCCTCCCCCTACTCTTTTACTTCCAGTTCCGCCAGAATATTTCCAACCACTAGATCATATGGGGAAAAGAGTTGACATGTACGAACGAGCTGAGCTTTCCCTTGGTGCTTATGAGTTCCTAGCCACAACAGATTATTGTAAAGTAAGTTACCTTAATGTTTAAAATTTAGTTTTCTTGTATGCATGAGCATAGGCTGGGGGTGCAGGAGTAGCAAATTAGTTCCAAGTGGGTTAAGATAATAAAAATGAACGTTTTGATTGGAATTGAGAATTAGTTCTACATTCTCATTTTTCACACATCTCTCCCCCTCCCCCAACCAACGCCCCAGATATGTAGATATACATTCATACTTCAAGTTAAATTGTTTAAAAGTTAAAAATACAAGACTTATTGACTTACTATTAGACTTCTCATCCACGTATGGATGCAATTTTGAGATTCAATTACACGTAGGTTTTTTTTTTCAGTATTGATGCTTTAAAAATTTGATTGGATTTGTTGCATTCATAGAATTTTTTCCTCACATTTTGTTTTAGAATAATGAGTTTCCAAAAGCACCTGCGTTTATTTTTATGATCGATGTTACATATCAGAGTGTTAAAACAGGAATGGTGGATCTGCTCTGTAAGGAGTTGAAAAACATTCTGGATCATTTACCAAGGTAAGATATAATGATATGTAAATATTATGCACATGAATTTGAGTAGCAAATGAAAAATTGTGTGATGTTAAGTATAAAAACTGGAATGTTAGATTTGCTTTGTAGGCAGTTAGTAAATACATAAGTATATGCAAATATTATGCACATAATTTATCAGATGTAATAGCCAATGAAATTTGTAAATTTTGAGGGTAAATATTATATAGCATATGGCTTGCTAGCTTTACCAAACCATGTTATTTATTCACAATGATTAGTATCTGTGACTGAACTGAATTCACAATAGATAATGTGCTAGCACTTGGTTGCAGGAATTATGCATGTCTGTTTAAGAAAAGCAATTACTTTACAGTTGTTATTAAATATTTGATGAGTGTAGTATTCTGATTTCTATTTTTATGAATGGTGCAAATATGAGAGTCATAAGATATCTGGTCAGTAATTGGATGGATTTAGTGTACATTCTTAAAAATTGCCATAAGAACCTATTGGCCATTTAGGGTCATGTGATACAATCAAGCTTTTCTGTCTTAGACATGTGTTAAATTCTTATATTGCCATATGGTTATTTGCAATTATGCTAATTAGCATTGATTGTACATACTATGCTTGAGCAAATATTGTCATAAATAAAAGTTGACAAATCAACAGGATGATGTGACACTAAAAAACCAAAAGGTCCACTGATTAATCTCAGATAAGAAAGTATAATACATACTCCAAGTACTGAAATGCAGACTTTCAGGAATGACTTGTAGAAGACTGATAATACAGCATGCAATTAACAAATACTTATTTATATGCATCACAAAAAATTGGATTTTTTTTGGTTCATTGTTGAGTTTAATCATAGTTTATATTATATATGTTTATGTTTATATATTTAGTTAAATTTTATTAGTTATAAGATTTGTTGAATTTGATGTTAATTTATTTCTTTTCTTAAGCTTTGTGGGACAAATACCTCTAATA